AGTTAAGGTTAGAAAGCGGAGATATATACTCGCGTAGGTAAGGTTTTATATATAGCAGCTCGGCTAATAGTAATACGATATCGTTAATATTAAGGCAACAATAACGGCTATACATTACTTGCACTACGCTCTCGAGGCAAGAGCGGTCGTTAATAGTGCCTAAGGCTGTAAATTAGAGCATCGGAGCATAGTGTTATTCTAAGGCTAGTCTTCGGCATCCCTCGTAGTCCTTCCCTATCTTATCGGTAGGAGTATATACTCGTACGTAGTATTCCTTTCTATCCTTAACCTCCTATAATATTATATAGGCTACGGCGAAGAGACTGCTAGCTAACCCGAGCGATAGCTATCTCCTTATTAAGCGCCGTTATATTAGGGTCCTAAAACTGCGAGAAGTCGTCCCGATTGCTACCTATACTACCTATACTACTAGTATTAGATCTAGGCGCTAGCAAAGCACCGGTTATTATCGCTAGGTCTTTAGTACCGCTAGCAGCAGCACTACTAGTTAAGTCTATTACTTCTAGCTATAGCTAATCGATATAAGCCTAGCCCTCGGTATCTACTAACGGCTTAAAGGCTTCGCCTCGATTAGCTCCTCTATTGAAACGCTCTCTCGCATTAGCTCTATTAATACCGTCTACGCTAGTAACAGCTATATTATTCTCTCCGCTACGAGTTACGCTACTAACTAGCAACTAGTTAGATCGATTAAGGGCCTCGACGATCTTTACTACTTGCTCTTTACCTAGAGACTATATATTATTAGAGAGGCCTATCTTTGTTAATCCCTCGACTCGAGATAGGTTGTATTTAGCAATGCCCTAATCTACTAGCCTAGTAGCATAGGATAGGATCTAAATCGGCATCTTCTTATCGGTATAGTACGTAGTCTTTTCTAGGCCTATAGATTCGACTATCTCCTATACGATATAGGAAGCAGTTCGGTTCTACGATACTAACTCTATAGTAGTAGCTAGATTATGTGTCGAGTTAGCATAAGCCTTAATGTCTATCTATAGGGCCCTATTTAGTTCCTCCTATATCTTATTAGCACCGAGACCTCGACTATTACCTAGATCGACGACTATCGAAACCTTAAGAGCATCTTATAGAGGCTTCTTCGCAGCCTTGCTAAAGAGCTAGGCTATATAGATCATCTTACGACTATAGTTCTACTATCGCGCTCTAAGGAAGATAATAGCTAGGTAAGGAATTATTCGACGGAGGTTGCTAGTGTCTATCTTCTAGATAGAGTTATATATAATTAAGTGCGGCTTAATAGTCTAAACAAGGCGGCACATAGTAGTAAAGGCTAGATCCTTAATAGTACTATTAACATTAGTACCGTCCTATATAGATTTAGTATAGACCGACTTATAGATAGAGAGGACAATGTCGATATATTTAGTATACCGCATATGCTTAATAATAGCCTTATATACCTCCTTCCGAGTTCCGGAGATAGTCGCAGTACCTTTACTAGCTATATTATCTCCGCCGCGACCGCCGAGCTCCTTAATAATAGCCGCCTCGAGTAGCTTGCTAGTAGTATTAATCTTTCTACGCTTTCGCAACTCGTGAATCTAGCGGGTAGCAATCCGGATTCTATACGAAGCCTTTATAACGAGATCGTTTAGATAGTACTTCGCCTTCTCCTTAACAATGCCTAGAATATCGAGATTAGATATATCCGACTAAATGTTATACGTAAGCGGCTCATCTGCCTAGTTCTTATCCTAGTAGGTCTTAAGAGGCATATAGCTGCTATTTATATCGGTATAGAACATAGCAGGCACGACAACAAGCTACTCCTTGCGGTTATACGGGCGAGTGCTCTCTACGCTCTCTATCTTAACTATACAATTACGAGCAGCAGTTATCTAGTCTCCGATAATCAGAATTAGAACCTTGTCCTAGAACTCGTTATTATCTAGATCTAGCTATATAAACTGCTCGAATTTATCGTTATATACCTTATATGTCTCCTAGATTGATGCTTTATCGTAGTACGAGGCTAGTATAGGGATAATTAGAGTTCTACCCTTGTTCTTAATCTTAACTAATAGCTATAGAAAGCGCTCCTATAGTATACTACCCTTAACAAGGACAAAGAGATACTCTAGTACGCGATCGACTTTAGCTTCGGCATACTAGGCATCCTATATCTCGGTGTCTTTACTAGTATTATAAGCACTCTTGGCCTTCTTCTTAGCCTTCTTCTTTAGTTGCTTCTTAAAGTCGAAGCCCTTAAAGCGCTACTAAATTGACTTAAAGAGATATCTAAGCGCCTAATCGATCTGGTATAAGGACATCTTCTTCTTCTTGTTGTTACTAGTTACGCCGCGGAAGATCGTTCGAGGGTTAAGCTCTTTGCTATAGTCTAGTATATCTCTCGTTAGGCCGCCTTTTAGGAATTCTAGGTAGATAGCTATATGCGTAGTAGTCTAATTATCTTAGTATATAGCACTACTAATTATCTAGGTACCTCTACGGTTAGATAAACGGTAGAAGTTGTCGTATACGAGCACCTAACGACGAGATATACGAGCTGTCTTTGCGATAAAGGCACGATAGGCCTTTACTATCTTACGTACGAGACGCTAAATAGTGCGAAAAGATCGACTAACGCCTATAGCACTAAAGAGATTAATAACTCGCGACTTAATACTACTAGTATAGAGGTATAGGCTAATCTGCTTGCTAAACTAGGAAGACTTCTTTAGCGCGATCGAGCTAGTAACGATCTAGGTTATTAGTATAGTACGCTTCTGTATACGGCGGTGCTTGTCGCTAATAATATCTTCCTATTTATTATCGTCGTCGTCGCCGTTATTACTAGCTATATCCTTCTTCTCCTAGGCGTCTATACTCTTTATAATCTTTATACGGCTATACTTCTTGTTAGGTAGTACGGATTGTAAGAGTCGGTACTAGCTAGGAGCTATAGTTCTAATAACCTAGTCAATCTGTACGAGGAGATCGGACTTACCCTCCTTCTAGTACTCGTTAATAGCAGCTTCTAGATCGTATTCGTTAAAGAATCGCTTACCGATAAGACGCTTCAACTCCGTACGTAGGACCCTAGTGCTAACTAAACCTTCGCTCTTCGGGAAAGACTTCTTAATAATCTTGTTAGCCTTCTTCCGGTAATCGCGTATGCTAGCGATACCTATATATATACTAACGAGCTTTGCGTACGTAAGGTACTAGTCGTCTAGGATGCGAGAGATGTACTTAAACTTCTATTTATCGGTTATGCGAGTCTTGCGCTTCTTACGCTTCTTCTAACTCGACTAACTAGGTCTGCTAGGCGTCTAACCTAGAGTTACCGGAGCCTTGCCTTTAGCTCTACTACCCTTGCCCTTCGTAGTTAGGCGAGCGTCCGTCTCTTCCTTTTTAGACTCGTCTACCGACACTTTATCTTCCTAATTACGGTCTAGCTCGGGATCGTAACCTAGAGTATTGCCTGCCCGCTATTCGGCCTCTAACTTATTAGCGCTTAGTCTATCTTCCTAATTAGCAATGTCTAGGTCGCCTTTATCCTTATTAGTGTCCTTATATACTTCTAGAACTTCTAGCTAATTGCGGCGGATAATAATAGGCTTATTTCGACGAGCTCGTAATAAGCGCGGCTATTAGCGACGCGCATATTCGGCGGCACGCTAACGAGCGCGCTACTCCTAGCGTAGTCGAGCTCTACGGTCGGCTAGGTCTTAGGCATATCCTTATAGCAAAGCTTTAAGCATGTCGCTCGTATTAAATATATCGCGATTGTTATTATTAGCGGCGGCGGCGGCGGCGGCGGCATTACTATCGCTATCGCCTAGTAGCAAGTCGGCTATTTCTATATCGCCTATAGCAGAGCGCTATCGAGTTAGATTAGTACGTATATGTATATAATAGTATATATAAAATATAGACTATTAGTTATAAGTCGAGTCGAAGCGGAAGTAGATTATAAGAAGCTAAGAGTGTTTAAGCCTTAGGCGTAGACTAGAAGCGCAGAGACCTACTTTTATTTTATAAAAGTAAAGTGTCTAGAAGCATTACTTATTTCTTCTAGGTATTTACGATTTACGACAAGATAGTACTAGACTAGACAAAGTAATATATCGCATAGCTCTACGATACCTTTTAACGTAGTTAGCAACGCGTACGATATACGACAAGCCGGATACCTACATTACGCTACGGCGGAGCAATCTACGCGTTTAATTATAACCGCGATAGTCGACTAAATAGTAATAGATTCTTTAAACTATACGGCGACTATTGCTTAGGCTAATAGTAGTAATCGCAGTGTTAAGAGAATAGATAGCAAGAATATAGCTTTAGCTTATAGCTAGTCTAAGTAGCTCTAGCGCATCTAATATTACTTAATACTACAATATCGGAGAGCATCGAGACCTATATAAAAGGTACTTAGAAATAGACGCGCTATACGATAATGCATATCTTATATATATATTGTTAAAAGCGACACTCGGCCTTTTTAGCCTGCTTGAACTAGCTTCGGCGTATTCGCAATATTGCAATACTACTACTTTAGACACTTCTATACCTTATATATTATATACTTAAAATTGTACGCTCTATACGATAATATAGGTTTCATTATTATAGCATTAAAAGCGACATGCGACATTTTCGCAGGTTGGTCTCTAGTCGCTAGATTTAGTCGAATTTAGGATAGTAGCTTAATTATAGGCTTTATAACTTAATAACCTAACGTCGCATATATATAATTTTTATATAGGATGTCTTCCCTTTGCCTGCGCTATCGAATGCACCAATAATATTTATGTATTTCGCGTTGTGTAGAATGCTAGAAAAATGATATATGCTATATAGTCCCTCTCTACCCTTTGTCCTCAGACCCTCGCAAGCGAGGGCGGCAAGCCGGAAGCCGAGGGTCTGATTGGAGACAGGGCAAAGTCTGACTTCGTTCTAGGCGGGGACGCATCATTCCTGCCACCATCTGCTCCATCTAATGGCCGAGGCGTTTGGAGGTAACAAAATGCGACCTCCCGACAGGCATATATTAGAAATTCAGCTTCTCCCAGTAACGGTCTCTCGGATGCCAAGTTCTAGTGATGAAGTCATTGCGAGCAGGCTGGAGGCTCACAGCCCGGCCAGGATCCCGACCTGAATCAGCCTTCGGAGTTCTTCTGTCAGCGGCCCCGCGGACACCGAGGATAGCAACATGGCGGAGGATGTACTCATCTGCACCAAGCGCAGCGGACGGTCCTCTAGCTGGGGTCAAGATACTGGATCTCTCCCGAGTCTTGGCCGTAAGCTGGTCTCGGTCGCATCAACATCATCAGTCGGGACTGACAGTCCTAGGCACCGTACTGTACACAAATCCTAGCGGACTATGGCGCAGAAGTCGTCAAGATTGAAGATGTCGACCGTGGTGTAAGTCTGGCTGGCCCTCTGGGATTTCTTCGGCCTCGTCAAGACGTCTTGTATGGTTTAGACCCTTCGACAGCAAGCTGAAGCATTGTTTCACAGGATGATACCAGGTACTGGACGATCAAAGGCGAAGAAAAGATGTGGAAGCCTGGAATCGGGCCCATGTCGAATTACTTCAGTGCGGTCAACAGGAACAAAAAGTCGATATGTCTGAACTTGAAGCACCCCAAAGGAAGAGAAATCTTCATGGATATGGTCAAGGATTCTGACGTGGTGTATGCACCCCTAGTAAGTATGACGACGGAGCTTCAGGCTGAGAAAGGCATAGTGTTGAAAACCTCCGACCTGGCAATATGGAACGACTGCAGCTTGGCTACCAAGACCTTCGAAAGGTCAACAAGCGAATCATTCTCGCAAGCACGTCCGGCTATGGAGCGGGCGGACCATTCGAGAAGCGTGCTGGTTATGACATGATCGCCGCCGCTGAAGCTGGAATGTTGCATCTGACAGGTGAGCGAGGCGGAGGCCCTGTCCGCCCTGGTCTAGGTATGACAGACATGTCGACCGGACTGTATATGCACGGCGCTATCATGGCTGCTTTGTTCGCTAGAGAACGAACAGGCGAAGGTCAGAAGATCGACGGCTCTCTCTTCGAAACTCAAGTGGCACTCCTCACCAACGTCGCTCTTTCTTGGCTGAATGTTGGCGTAGAAGCTGAGCGGTGGGGTGCTCAACACCCAAGCGTGGTTCCATATGACGCCTTCAAGACGAGGGATTTGTACTTCGTCTGCGGCGCCACTAACGATAAGCAATTCGCCAATCTTGTCAAGATCCTGGGCAGACCAGAGCTGGCCGAAGACCGTAGATTCAAGACCAATGGCGATCGAGTCACCAATCGACATGATCTCTATACCATGCTCAGGGAGCTGTTTGTTGCTAAGAGTACTGACGAATGGCTAGAGGCATTTGACGGCTCAGGGATGCCGTATGCGCCTATCAACAATATGGAGAGGGTCTTCGATCATCCTCAAACCAAGGCAAGAGATATGGTTGCTGAGGTTGACCTGCCTGCGGCGAAGAAAGGCAAAATCAAAGTGCTTGGCCCGGCCATCAAGTTCAGCCACACCAAAGCTACCATACGCAGCGTCCCTCCATTACATGGCGAGCATACCAAAGAGGTTCTTGATGCCTTGGGCGTGAAAGACGTGGCGCAATTGGAGAAGGATGGGGTTATAAAGACTAGACAGCCTGCCTCATAAACGTCTTCTTGACCATGAATCATCTCGTCTTATCTCTCACGCTTAAAGCTTCGCTCGCGAGCCGTCTGTGACCTCATTTGCAGCCCATTCTCTCAAAGTCCTCTCCAGCTTTTTGCCCGATGCCGTCTTCGGCAGCTCTTGGAGAAATACAACACCTCCGTCCAACCTCTTATGCTTGGCCAACCTCTCAGCAACACAAGCCTTCACATCTTCTTTTGTCAAGTCTTCGCATCCTGCCTTCAGAACCACATATGCTCTTGGTAGCTCTCCATCAACGCCTTCGACAGGAATCCCAATGATTCCGACATCGGAAATTTTGGGATGCTCGTACAACACCGCTTCCAATTCCGCCGGAGCCACCTGAAATCCACGGACTTTGATCAGCTCTTTCTTGCGGTCTACGATATACCATCGTGTCGTCTTGCCGTCTCGATCTATGTATGCGCTGTCAGTCGAAAATCTCCCCAAAGCCAACGGAAAAGCTTACAAGCGATGTCACCAGTATGAAAGTATCCATCCGTGTCCCAATCTCTGGCGTTCGCTTGAGGGTTCTCAAAGTATCCTTGAATGACGATGGGTCCTCTGACACACAGCTCTCCCCTCACATCAAAGGCCGTAATATCATTGCCGTCATCATCGACCAATTTGGCATCCATGTTTGGTAGCAGCTGGCCCACTGAGCCTGTTGGCTCATCGTGCGGCCAAGGTGTCATTGAAGCGGTACAGCACGTTTCCGTCATACCTTGGAGTACGTCAGCAACGATTTCAAGGCAAATGCAAACAAAAGTCCGCCAACGTGAGAGATACCCCAAACCTGAGTGAAAGGACAGTCGGGATGAAGCAGTTCTTTCGGCCGTGCTTGTTGCCAGGCGTCCAGTGGTGCCGCGCCCCCATGCGCAAGTCGAATCGACTTCAAGCTATATTTCTTGGATAAAGGAGAATTTATAATGGCGGTGACCATGGGTGGAACGAAAGCTCCCTCGGTTATCTGATGTCTTTCGACAAGTCGCAGATACGTTTCAAGATCGAAACGTTTTGCAACGAACGTTTCTTCGCCTGATCGCAGCGGAGTATCATGACATAGCGGTGCAGTAGCGACATGGAACATGGGGGGAGAATCGCAAGGCGTTTGGATTGCCACGGTGTTGGGTTCCATTCGCAGAAGAGACGGTGCTGAGCGTGATGAGAAAGCACTGCCGCTTTGGGCAAACCTGTGGTTCCACTGCTGAAGAGTCGTGCTAGTGTTGTGTTCTTGGCGGTTTCGAGGTCGTCGAATCGTGGCCAGTCGCTTTCACCATGGTTGAAGAGTCTCTCCCAGGACTGGTAGGCTTTTTGACCTCGTTTGTCGAAGACAAATATGCGCTCGGTTGGGATGCCGGTCTGTTTTGCAGCTGCGGCTACGTGCAAAAGCAGATCAGGTTCTGCTATCACTGCCTGTACCTTCGCTGCTCGAAAATGATGTGCCAGCTCAAATGGCCTGAGATCAATCATCAGTCCCCATGCATGGCTTTATCTACAGGTCGTCAACCTACTGGTATGCTGGATTTGAACCAGTGTATACTCCGCCGAAGCCGGCTATGCCATTGACAAGAACTGGATAGTCCAAGTTGTTGAAACTGTGTACGCATACACAGTCACCCTCGACTAGTCCAATGGCCTTGAAGCCAGCAGCTAGCTGTCGGATTGCTTTCTTGCATTGTCTACCGGTGTAATATCGCTCTGGCTCTTCGGCATCGATGTACAAGGGGTTGTCGAGGTCGTATTGCGGATCGTCGAAGTAGTAGGACAGGATGTCTTTTGTAGGTATGCTGCAACGACATCAGTATCCGGTTCTTGTCTCCAACGACTTGCATCACTCAGCTCACGGGAAGTGCTCTTCAGCTAGGAAAGGCGTTTGTCTGACTTCTCAGCAACAGTATGCTCGCATTGTTTGCAGCATATTGACATCGCGGCTGCACACGTACAAGACCCCATTTGAGGCGTTGTGATCTGCATGACGAATTGCTTCCGAGGGATCAAGGTTGGTTGGTTGGTTGGTATGTTATTTGAAGCCTATTTGAAGACCTTTGATCTACGCGGCTTATGGATACGTGGCCTAATGCCCCCGTATTGGCTACAATTTGACCCGCTCCGTGCTAATCCTTCGCCTTACTGTCGTTATAATTCTATAGACATTCCCGTTAACATTTGATTAGTGCGCCTTTTAATGTCCCTTAGATTAATATATACCTCTTAACAAGTCTTAATAAATAAGCTAATGCCTCCTTATATAACTAAGGGGTTACTCGCTCGGTTAGGAGTATAGTATATATATGTTAGCTTGCTAGCAGTAGGATTAAGCTACCTAGTTGCCGGCGTACTATAGATAATTGTCTGTTCTACTACTACCTTAAGCGATAGGTATACTACCTACTCTAATTAGTAGTTCAAATGCGGAGTCTAAGGGTAGTAGTAGTATTATAGGGCGGCTCGGCTTCGATAAGTCGTACGCCCGGTAGTAATAGGCTTTAAAGAGGTTAGTATTAATGTCCGGGCTATTCTAGTCGATAGCCGCCCGATAGTAGTTTTATTAGTATACTTACTAGCTAGCGAGACGTTCGGTTAAGTAGCCGTATAAGTAGATGCGGCGCGTAGCATTAATTTACGCTAATAGGGGTACGCGCGGCATTTAACTATCGTTGCGGTATATACGTAGTTGCCCTTAGGTACCTACTAGGTTCGTTAGTATATAGTGCGTATTAGAAGGCGTATATAGCGCTATCGGGGGATCGACTCGATAAACTAGTCCGCCTGTTTGAAAATAGTAGGCGTCTAGAGCGGTGCGAGGCAATAAAGCTAGGCGCGTTAAGTCGTATTATAGTAAGTCGTTCGTTACCTAGGATTCGTGTCCTTCTACCGCAGTCCGTAAGCCCTTCTGCGACCTATAATAGTAGGTAGTCTCTCTAGCAGCTTCGTTATACTTAATCGCTTAGTTATAACCCTTCGTCCCTTTTTTATAGTATGCTTTAGTAAAGATTAGTAGTAGCTTAACGGTCTAGGCAGATGTCTCTCGTATAGCCGCTTTAGCGGTACTAAATTAGAACGGTAGTACGTTCTTTATATGTAAGTACTATATACTGCTTAACTTAGACCTAGTAATGCTTAAGCAATTGCTTGCTTAGTAGCCTCCGCGTATCTTCGTTTTATCTAAGCCTAGCGTGCCTGTTTCGCGGCTTTCTTCGCGGCTTTAGCTTCTCTCTTAGAGTTTAATGCCTCGCTTTGCTTTTAAATTAGGTCGCTATACTTAGATTCTACGAGTTCCGGATCGACTGCCCTAAACTACTATAAGACTTTCGCCTTTAGTAGTAATAGGGCTGCCTATTATGCTATCGCTAGGTTACTAAGAAGGAGGTTAAGGTCAGTAATTCGTTTACCGAGGGCTGCCTATATATTGTCTCTATCTTTGGTTAGTCGTAGGCATTCGAGCAGTATATATGCAGGCGTTTAGCGTTGTAGCTCGTAATTATCCTCGTTAATACATAGGCCGCAGAATAGGCTACCTACTGCTCCGATTCTATAGAGGTATTAGTTAAGGGCTATCTTTCCTATCCGTATTTAGGTAATAATGCTTCCTATCGGCCGGCTAGCTTGTTAGTATCTCTAAAGGACGTCTTTAGTTATATACGGCTATAGTCGGTAGACACTCCGTCCTATATCGCCGTCTGCCTATTTAAGTTGCTATTTACCTTTAAGGAAGGTGTCGATTTGTCCCTTTGCCTATTTATAATTATAGGTTAGGGATAAATAAATTAGTCGCGCTCTGTCGGCGGCTTCTATTGCTAGTTTGTCCGCTAATTTATTGCCTAGTATGCCCGAATAGCCGGGTATCTATTAGATTGCGATAGGGCATAGTATATATAGCCGTAGCTCGTAAAATTGTCGGATAGCGTCCTATGCTATATTAGCGTTAGCATCGGTAATTCTTTGTACGAGTCCCCGATTGTCGGTATAGATGTAAACCGGTTTAACTAGACTATAGTAAATAATCGATTAGAGTGCTAATAAAAGCCCGTATGCTTCTACGTAGAAAGATAATAAGAAAGGGGCTGTACCGAGTAGTCTCGATTCGAAGACTCTCCCGTCTAGTAATACCGCTAAGTAGCCGAGTTTGCTGTTACCCTTTTTGTCTTCCTTAAGTAATCCGTCGGTATAGATATAAATGCCGGGCAGCCGAGAGGTCTCGTCGTGCCTTCGAATAGCTTCGTCGGTATTATCTAGTATTGCTATATTCGGGTACTCTCCCTATAGCGTATTAACAAAGACTTGTTAAACTTAGAGCGGTAGCGTGCCGCCTGCTACTAGGTACGCTTGTTTGTAGTAAGCGAGTAGTATAGTCTATCTCCGGTGTGCGTCTGTGTCCGCACGTTTAATAAGTGTAGTACTATATAGTCGACTAGCTATTCTAATAAAAGTACGGAGATATACTAATTAGAGGTATACCTTAGCTAGTTTAATATATAGCTTAGTATGTAGTGCTGCTTGTAAGGTCGTTTTAAAGGCGCCGGCGATCTAATAGGCTACTAGGTACTAAATAGAATTAATAAGCTTTGCTGCTTTCTTTACGTTCGCTATACTAGGTCGGTACTAGACTAAAGCACTATATATAAGAAGGGGTCGGATAGTCGCTAGGTAGGCTCGCCGTACTGCTATTAGCGAGGCTCCCTATAAGGATTTGTTTAGCATAGCGATAACGTTAGTTTTCTTTATAGCTTTAGCTTCGATATCCTTCCGGTATGCCGCGAATGTTAGCCGTAAGTCTAGCGTAACTCCGAGTATTTTAACCGCTGCCGCAGGTTAGATAATTGTCCCTTAAAATTCGATAGTAAAGGCAGAGTCTCTTGTCGTTTAGTAGCGGGTACCCGGGGCGTAGAAGTAGATAAGTTAGAACTTAGCCGGTGCAAAGATAGCTGCGTGTTGCGCTAACTATCTCTCGTAGATAGCAACTAACTCTTTTATTACCCTCTTAACTGCCTCTACTATTAGGCTAGTAACTAGTATAGTTACGTCGTTAATCTAGGCTACTAATATATTATTCTTAACTATACTCGTTTGCTTAACTAGATCTGCGTTAAAGATTACGAAAAGTAGTAGTAAAAGCGGCGAGCCCTATAGTATCCCGACGGTAACCTCTGCTTCCGGTGCTATAATGTCCGGTAATCGTAGGCGTGTTCTCCGGCCTATAAGGAAGCTCTGTATCTATTTAGCTAGCTCGCCGCCTAGGCGGCGTCTGCGCATATTATAAAGTAGCCTTTAATGCGAAACGTAGTTAAAAGCGCCGGAGATGTCGAGTGCTAGTGCGGAGGCTTTACCGCCTTGTTGCTATAAGTCGGCTATCGGTTCGATTAGGGAGTAAAGGGCCTTATCTGTTGCGTAGCCCTTTCTGCCTCTAAAGTAGCTAGTCGGGAGGATTTGCTAGGTTTCGAATACCTAGTACATTCTCTCTATAATAATGCTTTCTAAGCATTTGCCGATTATATTAAGTAATGCAATCGGTCGGTATCCCTTCGGTATTGCCGGGTCTTTACCTAGCTTTCGAAGGGCGACCGTCGTAGATGTTCGTAGCGCTTATAGGTAGTAGCCGAGCTTTAGAGATGCATTAAAGAGGGCCGTTAAGTATGCGTAGAACGGTATTAGTCTAATGTTCTCCTTATCCCTTAGTTAGCGGGCGCTCGCCGTAGTGTTAGCGGTATAGTTAGAGCTGCTACTACTAGATAGGGGAGTGTCTTCGTTATCTAATTCGGACTTATAGTCGGGATCGGATAGGTCTTTATTAGATAGCGGTAGGTATAGTAAGGCTTTTTTAATTATCTCCGCTAGGATTCCGTCGGGTCCTAGTGCTTTGCCGGTAGCTATCTTCTTTACCGCTAACTCTACCTCGTAGAGGGTAATCGGCAGGTAGGGGATTAGCTTAGGGTAGGTAAAATCCGGCGTAATATCGGCTAGGTCTGCCTGCCTCTATATCGGAAAGAAGGCGGCCTCGAGGAGTTTAGCTTTATCGTAACTAGAGGTAACTAATTAGCCTTTATGCTACATTGTCGGAAAGTGTAAGGTTCGCGGGTACCCCTAGTTAGACTTCTATTTAATTACCTTCTATAGGCGTAGCAGGTTATTGTCGTATACTGCTATGTCTTGCCTAAAGCTCTTACGCTTCTAGGCTCGGATTTTCTGCTTGTATTCTTTATATAGCTGCCGGTATTCTTCGTACTTAGGTCCCTCGGTAATTTGATAGCGTCGGAGGTGTCGTTTTAGTCGTCTTATCTCCTAGCGGAGCTAGGTAAAGCCTAATTTCTATCTAGTCCTAGTCCTGCCTTCGGTATAGCGAACCGTCGGTACTACTTCCTCTATAGCTTAGTAAAGGATAGCTTAAAGTCTGATTACACATTTATCTAGCCTCTCTAGAGTGTCTAGTTCTTGCATTATTAGTACCTAGAGTTAGCGGAGGCAAGCGGATAGGGCGTAAATGTCGGTATCCTTCTATTTCTTTCGGGGTTCTTCCTTCTAATTTAATAGGAGATCGGCGAAGAGGAAGGTCGATTCGATTAGGAGATAGTCTAAATCCTAGTCGTGTTTAGTACTAACCGAGAGGTTGCGGTATATTACCGTTAGCGAGTAAAAGACTAAATCGAGGGTAGATATGCCCCTGTCTCGCGGGTTAATTTATATAGTTTAGCCGCGGGGGACTACCTAAACTAAGTAGTAGTCCTAAGTTAGTTAGGCAAGGTGCCTACCCCTAGCGTTATTTAGTCGGTCTAGTATCTAGTCTTAATAGTAAGCGTTGAAATCCCTAACTATTATCGTATACCTTGTAATATACCGGTAGAGGTATTAAATTACCGTAGAATTATTGTCAATCGGCGGTTAGTAGGCATTAATTACTATTACCGTTTGTAGCCCCGACCGGATAGTTATTTTATAAACGTATTCCTTAGTAAGATAAGTTATCTATTCGCTCGTGTCCTAATACTTAGTTACGAAAGTTGCTACTTATATATCCGGCTTTCCTAAGAAGAGTAGCTAGAAGAGGTCCTTCTATAGGTAGTAGGTTATTACGTAACCTTCGTTTTGTCGATTTAGATAGGGCTCCTAAATAGCGATAATATCGTATTTATAAATTTAATTACTATCGAAGAGCGCGGCTATCCGGTAAAGGCTACTAGCTACATTATACTAAAGTATTCGTAGCGTCTTCGAGGGTAGCCGCCCTACCGGTCTATTACGTCGTCGTAACTGTCCGGTTAATTCGGTAAGTCCGTCGACTTGTTACTACTACTACTATTGTCGCTAGAGCTGCTATCGCTATCGTCCCCTAGTAGGGGGTCTCCCTATACTAGTTTAAGCATCTATTCTTCGTCTTCTATAAGGACTTTCTTCGGTAAGGTATAGACGGGCGCTTTAGTTAACTACCGGGTAATTCTAGCGACTTTCTTCGTTAGTAGTTCGTTCTCTTTGTTCGAAGAGGAGGTAGCTGCTTTCTTGCGTTTTAGGCTGTTAGCTTTCTTTTTAGCGATAAGCGCCGCTACCTGTTAGCTACTTAGTATAAGGGTCTTAGTTCTTTTGCCTCTGCCGCCCTCTAGTAATTTAAGTATATTAATATCGCCGATAGAGTCGCCCGAGTCCGCGCTAGATTGCTAGCCGTTAGTATACTACTAAAGGGGGTCCTCGTCGAATAGTTGCTTTCTCTTTCGTAATTTAGCGCGTTCCCGGACCTACTCGGCTTAAATGAGGTCTTTAAACGCTTTAGCTTTAGCCCGAAGGTCCCGGATGCGGGTCTTTAAGTAGGAGAGCGGTAAAAGCGGTGCGTTACCTTTCTTTAGTGTTCCTACTGCAGTCGTTAACGGGCGCTCCTAGTAGTAGTCTTTAGGATCGGTAAAAACAGGTATAGCTTCTAGCTAGGTTTCCCTCTACGTCTGCGTTAGGTAGGGTATTAGTACGACTAGGGTTAGCGATAAAAACGTCAAATTTGCTTTAGTGCTTAGTGCGGGAGCTGTTGCTTTTGCTATACTACCGCTAGGGTCCGAGACGCGTTAGACGCGTTGTTTATCTATATCCGAATGTAGCCTCTCTAGTAGGTCCTAGTTACTTTGTAGGTCCGAGTCGGGTAGTATAATATAGCCGGTCTGTTTTGATTATACCCCTAGCGTCTTAGCTTAGCTACTTTCCGGGTCTCGCTAGTCGCCTACTTCTACTGCTCGAATGCCCTACTTTCCTATTAGTTGTTCCTTAGTAGGAACGTTAAACCTTATACGGTATTTACGGCTCTTCGCCGCCTTTGCTTTAGCCTTCCTCCTCTCGGGGCAGCCCTCGCTAAATGCTATATATAGCCTAGCATATAGTACGTAGTATAGTAGTGTGCCTAGCGGGCAAGCCTCCTTCTTATATAGCCTAGCATATAGTAGACATCGATCTAGCGTGCGGTACCGGGTTCCGTTATAACCGTATATTTAGCATTTAAAGTACTACTAGATTCTCGCGCCTAGCTTATAGATTTCGGCTACATATAGGCTACTATACTATCGTAGGCCTTGTCCGAGTACCTTGTTAGCGTCTAAAGCGCGGGTAAAGTATAGAACGATTAATAAGGTCGGTTTGCTATTCGCCCTAGTTTTAACTAGCTAGCCGATATAGGTAATCGCTCCGTTTAGTATAGCTATACTATTCTATAGGAGGATTTCCTTAATAGCCTTTTGCTTGCCTGCCGCATATATACTAATTGTGCGTATCGGTATTCCGTAGACGACTAGTAGGTAGATATAGGTAATAATAGTAGTTCCTAAGCCTAGTCTATTTAAAAACGGTGCCGATTATCGTATAAATTACTCTCTCTCCGCGTAGCTGTCGAAGTATAGTTCTAGGTCGCCTAATAGTAGTTGTTTAGCTACTACTACCTGTACTTAGACTCCCTAATTTCGGGCGTTCTTATTAATTAGGGAGAGTATCTTGTATAGTTCTTAGTCGGCTATCCGGAGGGCTTTCTATATTGCTAGGTCGGGTATTCGAATTTGTAGGGAGTATACTAATAATTATTCGTTCGTTCTTCCCCCTTAGCCGAGGTATAAGCTCCGTAAAGAGAGGACTGCCTTCTATACGGCTTAAGTAGATTTACGGACTACGAGGGCATTACCGCGAGGGCTAGTCTATACGTAGTAGAGAGTCTCCTTCCCTATCGCTACCGAAGCAATTATTCTCGCTTGAATGTTATATAGCATTTTGCTAATATCGTTCGTCGCGTAGTTGTTTACTTAGGACGCGTAGTTTAGGCAGAGCTCTACTAGTTTATCTAGTATTCGAAGCGCGTCTTATTTAGTCGGTCTGTTCTTTCTAGGCTCGCCTTTTAACTATACTCCGAGGTCGTAGCAGTGCTTCGTAATAATAGTTGTGTTATCTAATAATGGGTCGGTATAGTATAGTTTTAGTGTTGTTAGTCGCTAGTTTGTTTTAATCGGACGCGTCGCGGGACTTATTTTAGCGATAGCGAGGTAGCGCCTCGTCGTATCACGAAAATATTAGTACTAGCGGAATCGTCACGTCGCAGCGGTTCAACTGATGTGTGTTTCTGTGTGGTATAGAATATATTGTTGCGGAAGTTTTTTTTTTCGTGTCTCCGAGGGATCAAGAAGTGCTCCTTTGCTCCTCACTGCATTGTTGAACTTTGTGGCTGCTACCCTGATGGCTTTCGCGGCATTCTCTGTTTGGGCATGCCGGCGCCAAGAATGTTGTACAGTCGAAGTTTCCAACAATCTAGACTATGATACGCAATCACCACAACATTACACTTGGATCTCTTGATATATGCGTATGCAAGTCATGATGCTAGATATTGCATGATGCGGGCTGAGGAGCAAGATCTTCCAAGTCCCGAGGAATATGCCTTCAGCTTCACGAAGAAAGCGTTAAGACCAGCTATGGACTACCATCTCATCATCCACACGTTCCGGCCCGCAAGCACGTTGCATTGAGAAGCTTGCCCGTAATGGGGTCTTTCAGCTCATACACATCTCTCAGAGTGCCCGCTCCCAATGACAACCCTTCCGGCAGAACCTCGGGATTCGCGGCCTCGATCTGTAGCACCATAGCACCAAGGCTCATCAGGTTTGTCTCCTGGTCAGGCTTGGTCCATCCCAGCTCGTATGGAAGTCTTTCCTTTTCTGAGCGCCATCGTCAGTCGACGCACGTCTACATGGATTCTACCCCCTGAACTCACCGAACAAAGATTTGACATAACTGACAGGAGCATCTCCCGTGCTCGGATTCCCCATTGTCGACAAGTAAAGGGCCGTCTCGCCAGTACTGAGCACCAACTGACGAGCTCCGTAAATGAACTTGTCCGGATTCAACGCCCTCTGGACCTTGATCCTGTTATAGCGTGCCAAAGACGCATTTTGGATAGTCGCTACAGTCTGCCCTTGAAAGTACGCCAGAACCTGGTTCCACTTGTCTTGCTGGAAAGAATGGTCGTTACCAGTCTCATAGATGTCTTGACGAGACAAGCTGCCGTCGTGCTCGATAGGAAAATTATGCTGGTCAAGCTGGTCTAGGTCGAAACTCGTGGCGAGAGGATTCGGGTTGGCTTGGATTCCTAATCCTCCAATGGCGATGGTGAAATCTGTTCCGACGTTCAAGCCGTCTTTCAGTCCTTGGTTCAGGATCTCAAGAGACATGCCTTTGCCATCACGAGGGAGAAATCCTGCCTGCTGTTAGAAAGTGTTCAATTTGCCTCGAGTGGACACTTGCCATGATTTGCAAGGGAATTGAGACCAGGGCATGGTGACCGGACTGTTCAAGGTCAGTTACTTGTTGAGACTACAAGTGACGATGTTGGAGTTACCATCGTTTGAACCTGGTGCTTGGTATGCATGGCCTGCAGGCACCGCTGCTGCCCATGCCAGCGGAGCAAACAGGAGGACTTGGACGGATATCATACTGATGACTGACTGGGCAAAACAGCACGTGAAGATGATCCAAAGGACTAATACACCGCATCTCAATGGTTGCGAACATTTTGCAAACACATATACTGTGGCTTCGAGACCTGTTTGGGATTTTGCCGCGGCTGTCTAGAGCATTTCAAGCCACTGACCACATCTTGGTCGAGACAAGCTTGCTAAAGACAGCAGGTGAGAAGAGTGGATACGCAGCGACACTCAAATCACAGATGAAGTGGCTTCTCGCTACTGCATACGCCAGCGACTAGACTGTCGATCACACTGCTAAAACTTTAGAAGCAAAAGGGCGATCGCACTGATAGTGCTTCTACAGTACACCCGCAAGCCTGCTGGTCACAGCCCGTGTACCGCATCAACTCACACACCTCCCTCCATCGACCTACGTTAAATTCGCATCGATCGTGGTTTGGGTGACCCGGACACGTCCTTTTAACACTGGCCACTATCACGCACAGCGCAGTGGATTACTTACGTAATACTGCCTTGCCAGCTGTTCAATATGGCTTCGTTGATTGCCTATGTTCTGCTATTCTATGGTCTAAAATACAGTGTGAAGATCCTTCTCCTGCCAAGACGTTACGTGCTATCATGTGACGGACCTGACGCGTCACAGCCACCAGCTTTGCTAGCATCCTGATTGCTGCATATACATAGTTTCTCCGCGCTATTATTGCATCTCATATTAGGAACTAGTTACTCGAAAATTCGCAGACACGCCACTTACTCTGTTGACTGGTAGGAATAGCCATAGTCGATCGCAAGGCATGAATCACCACAGACGGGATCGTCTTTCTGTTTGACACAGTGTGAAGTTTTGCCGAAGACATGTATGCATCCAAACGATCCGTCATGTTGGCATTTCTGGAGAGCTCCGCAACTGCATTGACCTCCAGGATTATTTGCTGAAACCGTTAATGCGAGGGCGAGAGTAGCAGCGATGGCGAGTGTAGACCGCATGGTGTTCTTGCTGTGTCGATGTTGATTGTACTGTTGTTGTGTCGATGTTGATTGTACTGTTGTTGTAGAGCTTAGGTCGTGTTCCGCACTGTATGTCGAAAGCCAGCGATCGCAAGTATTATATATTCGTATCTCGCATCCTGGAAACCAAGGCTCCAGTCTCGATGTAACCGGAGGTGGCCAGCTCACGAAGTATGTAGCAGTTGGTAATTAAAAGCTTGTACTAAAATGGACCTCCTTTTAATAGACTTCTATCCTTACAGGGTATTCTAGAGCCAACTCCAACTCCAACTACCGACCGACCTCTAATAAGTTCTTCGCTAAACAGGCCATTTTTGAACACTTGGCTTCCAACAAGAAAATGTAGGCAACAAGCGGAACAAAAGTCCTGCCCAATAATGTATGCCAATGTTTCTTTCCTCCCTGTATCGTGCAAATATTCAACGAATATAGTTATAGAACTAACGTTGCTCCTCCGTAAGTTAAGATGCTTGGCCGATCCCTTGTGGCAATAGACGTCTGCATTTCGCTACACTTTTGACGAACGCTCCAACATCGCTCCAAAGCCCCGCCAAGCGCCTGTATAGGCCTAGTCCCCGTTCCTTCCGTAGCACTCCGACTGGCTGCTTAGCTAGGCTAAACCGCTTTCATCTGCCAGGCTTCCTATTTGGGCCTTGCTCCAGAGCTGGAGCGGTCGCTCTAAGGGCCTGTGCTGAAGCATATACCACTAGCCCATTCCACCAATTAGAAGGCTTGGAGCGGTATTGGGGCGGTCGTCAATGCGAATATAAGCAAGGCAAAGTGGCCGTCGGTCGTCGTCTACGAGAAACCTGAGTTGTTTTTTGAGGTGGAAATTCTTATACGAGATGGATGAAGAAGTCAAACGTTTGCATTTGTCGGAGCGGCCCCCCCCCCTTTTCATGCTCGTCAATCATCACTTGCGCGAGGGATCCTGTAAGTAGAATACAACCTCTTCTACTCGAACTCCACATAGACCAAAGGCGTCGTGTATCCCGCGACATCACCCTTCTCAGCTTCATCGTTCTTCGTATAAGTCACATAAATCCCATTCCTCTTCTCGCCATACGTCAAGCTCGGATGCGCTTGCACGGAATATGCTCCCAGCAAATGGTTTCCTCGTGGACCGGTGTAAAACATCTGAGGTTGCAACCAAGGACCCTGCGGCTCGGGGGCTGTGGTGATGTACATTTCCGCGCCGGGAAAGGGATCGCCTCCAATCCAGACATAGCACTGCCAATGCTCATTGAAGTAGTACGTACCCTGTCCACCAGCACAGGCGTTGGGAATGTTGATCCCTTCCTGCGCGATGGAAGGGATATTCTTCGTCCAGCTGCCATTGACCCAGTATTCGTACGCGTTCCGGTTCTCGATCTCATGGACGGGTACGCGAGCCAAAGATGTGATGTGCTTTTCGCGGCCGTAGAGGTATGCGATGCCATTTCTGATCACATTCCCGAATGAGCCGTGTGCGATCTCACCAGGTTTCCAGAATTGTTCGTCTACGGCTGTGACCTTGGGTAGGTCGTGGTGGGAGTGGAACGTGGAGGGATGGTAGTCAGTCCTGTAGAGAATCGTGGCGGGATGCTCGGTTTTGACGCTCAAGTCATGTCCGATGTGCGCTTGCCTGACCCAAGTATAGGCTTTGATCTTGCCGTCTGGAGGTTCTTCAGTCACCAAGGGCGGAGAATCCGGCCACAACGCAATTCTTGTCCCGTCATTCTTGTTCCCAGCCGGTGCCTCGCAGATATGCGGCATATTGTGGAAGAAAGATTGTGCCTCTTGATTCTTGCCATACTGGCGTAGAACAACACTTTTGAGTGGATCGCCACGGGCTGGTTGAAGGTCAGGTCCGCCATCTTTGCTGTAGTCTGACCATGACGCCGTGCTTGAGATGATTGGGAACATGCGAACACTGCCGTCGGAGTTGCACAGCTGTGTGTCTCGATATGTCCAGAAAACGCGATTGCCGAAGCGTACAGAGCCTCCTGAGTCCCGATTCAAGCCTGGATCACCGACCAAGCCTAGGAGTCGAGGCTCGCCCTTGATTCTAGGAATGACAGGTTGTCCAGGTTTGCTGTTTGACTGGGGATTCATGGGCATCTGAGTTGACTGTGCCTGTGACTGGCTGAGTTGCGCCTGCGCTAGACCATTAGGGCCCTGGTCTGGGTGCGCATCCTGAGGCTTGTTCTGAGTTCCTCTGGCATCGTGAGGGCCAGAGTCCTCGAGTCCTAAAGCGAAGTCAGGATCGTGATCATGATCACAATAGGGACTCACAGACCGTCCGTGAATTCATTGAACTTCTGCTTCAATTTGTCCATGTTGGTAGATTCCGTCTTTATGCTCGCGGAGATCGAGGATCAGCTTTGTCAGCTATTATTGCTGTTCTGGTTGTAGAAACAAGATGATGAAAGATAAATGCAGACCGCGGCATTGGCAAGAGTTGCGTGTCATACGTCACCGGTGGGGCCAGCTTGGTGTGGCGCGCTTGCTGTAGAGGTATTCTAGCCTACCACAAGAAGTCAGCCCAGCAAGTTCTACCAACCACGACATCGAATAATGAGTGTTCTAATGTGTGGATTCAAAGTACAATGCAAACGAATCTGATCTCTGTATGCTCAGATATCACACGCCAGCCAACGCCACGCCAAGGTCAAGACTGGAAATACTCATCAACCCACGAAAGTAGTCTCAAGCTCGAACAGCTCACTACAACTCTTCCAGTCGCCATGAAGTCGCGCCATCCTCGACGACGAGCTGATGGACGTGGAATGTGATGTTCTCGTACCTGTTATCGGTCAGCGGGATCACTACATCCAAGCATGGAGATCACTCACATGGTTCTTGCGGCAGCTCTAGCTTTGGCATGCCACGGACCGCTTCCGCCTGCTCGAGCATCTTCACGACTGCGCCATAGACCTACCAATAACTGTCAGCAGGAGTTGAGAGCGGTATGGCAGAGAACTCACAGGTGGCAAGATTCCGGCGCTCTTCATCGCAGGTTCCGAACCAATACTTCAACAGTCCTCCGCTCGCGCAAGCCTCTTCGTGAGACTTCTTGTCCAGCAGTCCGAGCCTATCACGGTCGACACCTGGCTGGAGAGTCGAGCGGAAGATGACGGTGTAGAAGGCACGCTTCTGCCATTGATACCCAGTCTGCACGCACAGGTGTCGCAACAAGGCAAACACGTCGGGCCAATTGAAGGATTCGAGATACGGCGCTGTAGCATAGTCTCCACGAATTGGTTCAAGGGCGCCGAGGGCGAAAGCGAAGAGCTTGTATGGCGTTTCCAGGGCTTGCAAGTCGAGCTGATTTACGAAATCCGAATACGGAGAGCTGACCAGATGTGTAGCATCAAGCTTGAGCGACGCCGATAGAAGGAGGCCTGTGGAGATACTTGGCTTTTCAGCTTCGGATTCGATATTGTCGAGTGGTGAGAGCTGCGATCTGGCTTCTGCACGCGCAGTGCGTTGCATTTCGAGTAAAGGCGCTGGATCGGGGTTGCGAAAGATTTTGCGGTGAGCACTGGTTGTTGGGATTGGATCCGCTGGCGCCGCCATAGAGCTGCCAACAAGGAACCCCAGGATCGATGTTGATGCTTCAATGCTGTTCAATGCCTCGCCGAGAGCCGCTTTGATCGTGTAGTTGAAAGAGTCTGCTATTCTCACCAGTGGCACGTGGTCGAAGTACGTGGGGAGTCACACATGCCTGCGGTGAAGAATGTTATAAAGGCACAGGAGTGAGTGAGGGTAAAGCTCGTGCTCAATAACGCAAAAGCACGCCATTCTAGCAAGTATCCGTGTTGGCCTGAGATGAAGAAGCCACCACCACAAGGCTTGAAGCTTGGCGGTAGAGGCTCGAAATGCTGCGCTCTGCCAATTGGCAATCACCGCTCGTCTACGGGGTACCGATTTGGCCACCAAAGGCGATCACGTCGTCCGCGTCCGGCGTCCGCGCAAGAAGTGCTGGGCATTTGGCCTGCCGCTCGTCTCGCCACGTGAACGTGAACGCTGATGGGGGTCACTGGAAAGGGCGGGGCGGGGCGGGGCGGGGCGGGGCGGGGCGGAGAGGCCAGCCTACTCTTCGCTGTCCGGAGCATACGGACGTGTGGGCAACCTCAGGCATTGTAGAAGAGATCTCAAAAGCTCAATGGAAAGATGAAAGTTGTCAGCACAATGCCAAGCCTTGCCAAAAATAGAACTGGTTCGCTTGGCAAAAGCGAAAAGCTGTCGGTGGTCTCTTCGTCTCTTCATCAACAACAACCCTCCGCTCGCATCGTGACATCGAAACGCCAATCGTTATGCGTCCGCCGGTCTCATGGTCTCGAAATCCTTCCACCCTTCCAACGACTTCACACACGCCTCGTGCCACCTGAAAGCAAATGGTCAGTCAGCCAACGTCGGGAACCGACTCACTCCGAGAGAGCATGGAACTCACATTGGCATTCCTCCCATATACAGAAAATACTCTTTCTTCTTGCCCGGCACATTGGCTCCCATATACCAACTATTCGTTTCCACCGCCAAGGTGTCGACACGGGCTCCAGGATAGCACGACCAAGCCCAGACTCCTCCAGTTCTCTTTCCTGCTTCTAGTACTGTGGCCGAGAAACCTTGCTCTCGAAGGAGATGGAGGAGGTAGCAGCCTCTAAATCCTGCACCTACTACTACTACGTTACGTTCGAGGATGTTGGCTGTTGCTGGCATGGTATCGAGGTCATTCCAGTTTGGTACCTAGTGGACTCTGGAGAGCTTGGCTCCTCCACAACTTAAGGAAGACGGATCCCAAGCGTCCTACTCGAAAGACTACTACAAATTCCAGGTACCTGACAGGACCTGCTGACTTCCTGCTACCTCGTCGACGTATAAAGGACCTCTCTCGCAGTCCATCGTAACGAGACTCCACGAAGATGCCATTATTCTAGAGAAAAGCAAGTCGCTTGTGGCATTTCAAGTCGCAATTGAGTAAAGGCTAGTCGATTGCGGAGCCTTTCATACCCTTTTCAAATCCTCTTTTGTTAATAATAGTCGATAGTAGATTGTTACGGTTACTCGCGATAGATCGTTAGGTAACTTCTTATTACGTGCAAGCCGAGGCTTCTTTAGAGAGGCTAATATAAGCGGGAGGTAGAGACAGAATAATTAGTATAAAGGTAATTCCAATTAGTAAGTAGGTAATATAAGTTAAACGCCTCGAGCTATAAGGGCATTCCGGCGTTCCTAAATATAAAGGAGATATCTTGTCTATAGTCGTAAGCGACGTAAGCGACGCTATCGCTCTCGACCGCTCCTATCGCTCCTAGTAAGATAGAGCGATAGCTTAGCCTACTAGTCTTAGCGTCGCTCTAAGATTATATAAGGACTCTAACTAATTAGATCCGTAATACTATCCCCCTCCTTAAGCGGAATAGTCTCTTATTCCGGAACTTTCTAATTCTAACTTCTTTATTATACTAAAGTTATCGAAGGACTTGTCTTCTCGCTAGCGTAAGAAGAATATTGCAAATAATATCCTCGCCGACTATCTCGAAATACCGACCCGCTACTTTTATTACAAATAGGCTAGTAAATCCTATAAGGTCGATCTTCGTTCTAGTCGCTACTCCGAGTACGCCCTATACGGCTAGTCCTATAATATATAAGTTACTTATATAGAGTATAAAAAAATCCGGAAGGCGCGTCTAAAGATAGCTAAAGATCTTAAGGCAGCCGAAGAGAAGGAGGACCTTCTTACGCGGAGACTCTTCGAGTACTACGTAAAGGTCCGCCGCTTACGCAAGTCGCTACGTATAAAGGAAAATCGGGAGATATAAGCTCTTAAGGTAGAGGAAGCCTCTATTTAATAGGTAGAGGAGCTCGAAAGAGAGCTAGGCTCTTCGCCTATAGAGCCGATATTATTCTCGTTGCCTACTAACGAGCCGTTTCCCCTAGATAGCCGATTATAGATATCGCCTTATAACTAGAGTCGTCTAGATAGGACATCCTAGCCTATCTCTAAAATTCCTAGTAGGAGTGCCGAGAATCTAGTATCCTAAAGGTATATATTTTTAGTATTTCCTATCTATTTTATCTTCTAGCTAGTTAGTCTAGTAGTAATAGTATAATTCTTAGCTATAAAAGATATAGTTGCTAGGTACGCTATTAGAGTCCCCGCTCCTCGAGCTATACTACCCTAGGTCGTTAAGGACTCTAAGGCGCTATAATCGATAGGGTCTAAGAGGTCGTAGGTTTAATTCCTATACTAGTTATTTCCCTTTTGTCTAGTTTTAATATTTTTTAATTATCTGCTAACAGTTCTATAGGTTTTCTTTTAGTTCCTAAGTGTTTTCTAAATATAGGTATCCTTTCTATTTAATAAGGTATTTCTAACCTTGCTAGTCTAGGATTTTCTCGACTTTAAACTTATTTTCTTCCTTAGGTTAGAAGTGAAATGTTTCTTAATACGGTATTTCGGCGTCTATAGGTTCTAATATAGAGATATAGAATACTAGGTAGATTTTTGCGTCGTCCGGTAGTTTAAGTCGGTAATTAACTAGTCCTTTAGGCTTATTAATCAAAAATAGCCCGACTTTAACGTAGTCTAGTTTCTTAGTCGATCTCCGGGTTTTTAGATTCTTTATTAGGAGGTAGACCTTATCCCCCTTTTTTAGCTAAGGTGCTATTTTTCGTTTAGCATTATACGGTCCCGTAATCTTTTCTTAAGACTCGGCAATTGCCCTTTGCAATTGTTTATATACCTGCTTTAAGTCTTCTAAAGCGACTATCGCTTTATCCGTATATAGATACTATAAATACTATTCCCCGAATAGCTACGGATATTTCCTAAAATTAGCGAAGAATAGTATCTCTTTCGTAGTCTTAGATTATTAGTTGTTTAGTGCAAGTTGTGCTATAGGCAATAGCGATGCCTAATTGTTTTGTATATAATTAACGTAGTGCCGTAAGTATATCTCTAAGGCCTAATTCTTGATTTCCGTTTAGCCGTCTATCTATAGATAGTATACCGTTAATAGCTTGTGCTTAATTCTAAGTGTCGCTATAAGCGTCTTCTAGTAGTTTAACGTAAAGAGCTTGTCTCTATCCGTAATATAGGTCCTTAGGAATCCGTAGTATCGTATAAGTCTATCTAGTACGAGGTATCCGAGTTGCTCTACCGTACTTGCTTCGTTAGTAGGAATAAAGTATATATATTTCGTAAGCCTATCGACTATAACAAGTATTATATCGTAGCTATATCCTATAACCGGATCTTTAGACTTCGGTAGTTTCGTAATAAAGTCTATTATAACTTCGTCCTATAGTTTATCTAGTAGCGTCCTAAATTAGATATATCTATACTTAGCGTGTCTATTAGCCTTGTTACGCTAATATTGTAGACATTTCTTAATATATTCTAGAACTCGTTGTCGTATATATAGGAATCCGTAGACCCCGTAGTAGTTCGGGTTGGTTTAGTTTGGTTTACTAAGCCGAAACTCTGGTTTGGTTTGGGTTGGTTTGCTAAGCAACTATATAAGTAGCTAGTTCGAACTATATAATTTATCGGTTTTTAAGAAGTGTACGAATGTATACGTAGCTTTAAGCAAGCCCTTTGTAAGACTTAGCAGTATAGCCGGCAGCGTAGCCGGCATTTTTAGTCCTTATTACTTATAGAATTTTCGAATCCTACTTTAGCTACGTAGTTGTATGAAGGTACTTATATAACCTCAAATCTATAGACAATCAGCTAAGGGCACTAACCAATCAAAAGTATATATATATATATAAGGCATTATAGTTTAGTTCGGAAACTGTACTCCTTAGGTATAAATTTTATCCTTTCGTTTACGGTTCAATTCCCTAACTACTTAGCAGAATATCTTTATCTAGATCTAGGCAGAACTCATCGATTTCCCTAGAAGTCCTCCTCCTTAAGAAGTTTATACACTTTCCTACCGAACTATTCGACAATATTAAGTACTAGGATAGCTCCTCCCTCGGTATCGGTATAGTATATAAAAGAGCTATAAGGCAGCTCTACAGAACGTTCTACTAGTTACTCGCTATACTAAGGCCGAATGCTAGTTCGTTCCTTAGAACTCTTAGTTATTTAGGAGATATAAAGGGTAGGGCAGGTAGTAACTTCGTATTGTATAAGGAGGTAGAGGCTACTATAGAAGAGGCCTTTAACCTATAGAAGATAGTAAAAGATATAGAGGCAGCTACAGGTCTAGGTACCTAGTTGAATTTCTAGTAGGTAGAGTATAAGGATATTTAGAGGGAGTATTAGGTAGAGTTGCGAAGGCAGGTATATAATATGCTCTAGAAAACAGGGATAGTGCCTATAACTATAACTATTAGGCTCT